GGGGGGGCTCTGAAATTTTTTCGACTACCAAGGAGGGGCTCCTAAAAAATTGAACCGCTAGCGAGGGGGGCTGCTAAAATTTCAAGCTTCGAGTTTCAATATCTTCATCCCCCCCCCCCTTTTCATATTAAATGAACTTTCCCTTATCCAGATTCAAAAACAGAAAGTGAAAGGCACTGTCGTATGTATGTCCTATATAAATCGTCGCATGATGATTTCACTTCTTAGCCGTGCAGTGGACGACAAAGAAATGTACTAAAAAGAGGGTCTAAAAAAGTGCAGAGCTCAGTGTTATTTTTCTCATAAAACCAATTGTTTTGTGGACGTTGTAGTTGTCGTTGTTGTTGTCGTCGTCCCCGGTCGTGGTCGTGGTTGCTTACGGATCGGTAAACAGATTTGCAAGCGCTATCCACCGGAGTGGACAAATCACATCTAACGCGCGGATTAGATAAGTGCCGATATGTTTCTTGACAGGCCTCGATAATAGCCAATTTATTAAATTTGGATACTAACCTTTCTTAGTTTGTTCCGTAAAAGACCATCCAATGCCATTTTGAAACAGAAGTACAAAGTGATCAAAATTATTACAGCGAAGGGAGATTTAACTTAAACGAAAATAGCTTATTAAGCTACTTTCGATTTTTCGGGAAAAGTACCTTTCGGCGGCGGTTTTCCGGCGGGCGACACGTACCCAGTCCTCCCTCGTTCATGACATCAAACTATTTTTAGCGTGAACGTGGTTGAAGTTTTTATCGTCAATCGAAATTTTGGAAGCGTTATTTTAAACTATTACCTGCTTCCAATTAATCTCAACGTTCTTTCACTTTGAGCTAGAGTTTTTTTGGTTTTTGATTGAAAAAACCAGAATTGCAATGTAAAGTATCACAAAGTATTTATCCCATTGATGGCTGCCGCGGATTCTCCAGTGTCGAACGTCAATGATTCACCACAGTCTGCACAGCTTTCTGATGAAGGAAAGGCAAGTCATTTTTTTGTTTTACAGGCAGAGCGTTTTTTTATTTTCCGCTTTTAGAGCAGCTTCCATCAACCAGTGATACATTTTTGCTGTACTACGGCACAGGTTGTTTATCGACAAGATGGCGTGTTCGTGCACACCGCTGTGCCGATCACAACACAGACTGCAAATATCATTCCTGGCAGAGTGATCGTCATTGAGAAAGTAAGTTAGAATCTTGAGGCAGGAAAAAGCAAATTGATCTCTTATCTTTATGTTAGATTAACTGCCATTCGCGTCGGCCACATTCTTCGTACATGAAGATCGACGACCTCTTTGCTGGAGGAGATTACATTTGATGTTTGTATTTACCTTTTTTAGACACTTGACCCCTTACTCTAACAAATTTCCCTGAACACGTCATGTAGCTACAGGCGAACATTAGACGAGAATTGTTCAGGTCTGGTACAAAAGAAGTGAGTGGACTGTTTGCAAAAAGCTGTCAATGATGTCACAAGAAAAGATACATTGTAGATACAGTGTACACCATGTAAAGGATTTATGGGAAACATGAGTAATTTTGTTGCAGTGGTGACAGCACTTGGCTCCTACCAATGTGGCCCGGGACTTGCTTAGTGTTGACACCATAAGTGTACATTTTGGAAAATTTTCCCTTCGCTTTTCTAGGCTCTTCAGCTCAGGCTTTCCAGGAAACGCCGGAATCAAGGGGGAGCCAAGAGTGCTTGATATCATTCTAGTCAGAAGCTCTGTGTCTTTTTTGCACATAAGAGCCCAGAAAGAGTGGAAAAGATTCCCTTGGCTTTCTGGGCTTTTCCGGGCTTCTTCCTGGCTTTTCCGCTTTTCAGAAATCTTACCCCGGAATTCTGCGCTTCTCTTTGCAGGGTAGATATGTTGCAGTTTCACTGTAAATAGACCTCTTTAGCTTGTATGTTTTGTTTTCCCGACAGAGGTCCCAGGGGAACTTGACCTTTTGTCTTTTCATAAATTATGCATATATGTGCATATGAATAAAACGAAATTTGAGAGAAACAGTTCTCTAGAGTAGGTGTATTACCACATGACCTGTATTGGGAAAACAAAACAAACAGGTTTAAGAGGTCTATTAATCCAGTACAAGTTTGGAACTGAATTGACTGTTCAACTTAGGACATACCAAATTACCTTTCAAGAATGCAGTAAATTAGAATCAAATGTTGAAATTTTGCCATTTTCAGTTTTAAATACATAATGTTGTATACTGTTTCAAATTTATTGTGGAAAAGATACACATACGTGTAGCCTCATTTAAATTCAAGGTGAAATTCATGGATATTGACAACATTTCACTTTAATGTTCCTGTTTGTTTGGTGTTTTTTTTCCAGCAAAATAGCAGTTTTGTAGACTGGTCACCCATTGTGAATGAAGAAGAAGAATTTGAACTGGAATCAAGTGATTACTCTGAGTGGGACCTTGTCACACAAAGTAAAAGCAGAGAAGAAGGTGACTCAAGAGTACTTTCCCTTTTTGATTCAATGACCTTGTCAAAGTTTTGTGCAAAATGTCACATTGCTGCAAAAGAAATAGTGTGCTTTCAATCATTCCTGATGTCACACTTTAAGTTACTACCCTGACAGCTCACCAGAACTTGTGTGTACCAGAACTTTATTAAGAAATTGAATCATAAGTGCACAGTGCTTCCTATGATTTGGAAGCTCATGTAAGACAGTGACATGTAACACTCATGGCATTAGTGAGTTTGAAACCATGAAATACACTGTATGCACATCGTTTGTCTTAGGGATACAGTCTTACCCCCTGTAAGTGATCACCCAAAATGCAAAGACTGTATAAGTATAAGAATGCAGACTGCTTATGGAAGGTGGTCATTTACAAGAATCGAAACACAGAGGGTATCTTCCGAGAAGAGGTCCAGGCACATCTACTTTTTGGCAGATAATTTTATGGCTTCCAATGTCTAAGTTAGGATATGTGTACTTCCATGTTGTCACTAAAGTTTTTCGTATATTCTCAGGGTGCAAAGAAAGTCAGTTTTACAGCTACGGTAAGCCCGTTCGACATCGATCGTACATGATCGGGTTTTCAGTAAAGTTAATCGGGCTTTTTTTAAACTACTCGTCCTAACTAATGTCAAGAAGACAAATTCAAATTTCTAAAAAAATATCACTTGCCCATCAGGCAAGTTAAAAACAGAATTCACTAGCCCGAAAGCAAAATCCACTAGCCCCGGGCTATCGGACACCACTTTCTTTGCACACTGATTCTAAGTAAGATGCTGCACACAGCGAAAATAGAGATCAGATATTGCATCAAGTGGTTGTTTACAAGAAGTTAAAAAGAGTGGACAATCATTAACCATCAGGCCCAAAAAGTGGGCAAAAAGTGGTTTGCTTACAGGAGGTGGTTGTTTACTAGAGGTTCCAACTGTAAGGCTTTAACCAGGAAAATTTTGGTTTTTTGGATCAGCCGCTTAGGGAAGGTGGTCGCTTACCAGAGGTGGTCGCAGTCATGAAGGTTTGACTGTATGATTTTTATTGTTTGCTGCCAAGTGGGCAACCTCTTATTCAGTATTTAATGGTAAAGGTTGGTAATAAACGAAACTAAACCAATATTCAAACTGTAAGTGTGTACATTGAATGTACACTACAAGATTTCACAAGACATTTAACACCTTTTATTGTCTAAACTTGCAGATGGAAATGCTCCTAAAAAGAAGAGAAGGTCAAAGTATGCTATTCACTTCAACACAGCAGAGTTACACTCCATCAGGCGATCTGATCCCAAGCTGGCCTGGTCTTATGCTGTGTTTATTCTTAAAGATGGTACCACACTACCAGCCCTTCATTTCCACTCTGGTGGTATCAGTGAACTGGTTCGCAGACTACAGAGATACATCTGGCTGACAAGGTAAGTAGAATACATAATTATACACCATAATCATATCCAGTAAATCATATTTTTTTTTCTTTTGTAATCACTGCATAACTAAATTTTTGGTGCCAATTTATTAATCTTAAAATTCTGGTTTTTATGTATAGTACCATTTTTGTATTTTGCAACGTACATGTATGATCTTCAATGTGCAATATTACAATGTACAGTAATGGTCCCTTTAATTGTCCTTAACATCACAGAAGTTTTATCAAGAGAGAGGTGTCCACATTTTTGGCATCAAAAAGTTGATACGGATGATGAAAATCTGTCTTGAATCTTGTTCACAGCTCTATTTGGTTCATGTGTTTTATATTATTTTATACATGTATTCTTTCAGTTATTGTTTACTAATGACAGACAAAAGACAAAGATCAAATGTAGGACTAGATTTTGTTTAAATCCAAAAGCAGTGAGTTTTGCATGTACCATTATTCACAGCAATACTTGAAAATTGTCATGTTAATCGACCAGGACAAAGAAAAGCGCAAACAAATCCACATCTGGAACCCCATGACCACTGTACATGTATCTGCATTAATTATGTAATTATGTCATCAGTTGATTTTTTTAAAGCCAGCAGCAGAAAGCAGTGACAGGCCTCAATGTATCCATTTGCAGTTCAGTGCTCTGGCCTTTAACTGTGATCTTTGCAATGTGACAATGTGACTAACATGTACAGTGCATATGGTGTTGGGTTACACCTGTATAATATTTAGCTGTACATGTACATGTATATAAACATGTATATTCTCAGATAATGTGTGTTGGACTTGGAGGGTAGATTCATTTTACATTTTTGACTTATTTTGCCTCTTTAGAGCACCAAATAATAACAAGTTATTTGTAGTGGCAGAAGATCAGAGTGCATTGAAACAGTCACTTGATCAGCTCCAGTTATTCTCAGAAGATAATCCTCCTTCTGGTGCTCCAGTAAGACAAAGATTATTTTAATACTATACCCATTACTAGGTACATTTGTAGTTTAAAGAGGGGCATGGCTAGGGAGGGATAGTGCTTGCAGACTGTGGACTTGCAGAGTTTGAGTACATACAGTGTAATGACTCACAGTGAACATAAGGGGACTATTGTGACCTAGCTTATACCACAGTACTAGTAACAAAATTTATGCTAATACTATACACTTGTTCAGTGATTTTGTTACCTCTCTGTCCTGCGTCCCTAATGCATAAAAATCCCCAAAGATGCAAAATAATTCATGGCATGTGTCCCATAGGACTCAAAGAACAATCCATCGATTTGAAGATTTTTTGGTAGAATAATCCTGTTCGTGTGTTTTTTTGGCTGTTGTTTAAAGATGCATATTTATTTTAGTCTTTTTTGTGCTTTAAATAATTATATAGAAGGACTATATTTTAATTTCAGTAAACTGTAATATTATATAAAGAGTTTTGGCAATAAATTGTCTCCAGATTAACTGTCTGGTTACATAAAGGCCCAAGCATTTTCAAGTTAGGACTCCTTCTTTTTTTGAACTGGGACTCATTGGTTATGGACAGGGACTAATGATTTTTCACAAGATGAGTCCCAGGACTTACAAAATTTATTTGTAACAAAATCACTTGCTAATGTTTATGTTCTCTACCTGTGATCAAATTTTTTTTATTTGGTCTTTTGTTGGGTTTTATCCCTAATCTGAAGAACTTTTTATTTGCTTTTGTTGAATTTTCAAAATTTATCCCTGACTTCAAGACTGGGGGAAATAAACAGAAGAAATGAATAATATTATTATGCATCCCTGAATCTCAATGCAATTTCTTGTGTTTTGTACCACTCAGCCTCGGATGCTAAAAGTTAATTTCAAGAAGTACACTGCATAATTATTTCATCTATAAATACCCCATTTATATGAAGAAAACCTGTCTCGCGTAGAAGGGCCACCCTCCCAGCTGAATCAATGTTGACCTCTTTGCCTGAGCCAACAGCACTCATGCATGCTCTTATTGTCTAAAATAGCACTCGTGCGTGCTCTGTTTGTCTTGCCTTGACCTAGTTGACCTGGGTGGGTAGACCATAGTGGAGAATAATGCAGAGGGAATAATAAAATGGGGAAAAGTTGACTATGCTTGATTGGAGAGTGGCCCACATGTATCATCACATATCTGCCAAGCTGGGCCAACCTTTTAGTCCAACCAACTTTTTGCCATGTTTTGTAAGGAAATGTAAGAAACGTTGGCTCACAGAGGGTAGCTCTGAAGTTGTGAATCTATGAAAATCATATATGAGAACTGCGGGGTGAAGAATTATATGAAAGAAGATCATCACAGTTATAGACACAACTATAGAGGGTAGCTCTGTTAGGTGGGTGGACAACTTTTCTCCATATAGACAGGGCATTAGTGGTCCAAAAAATGAAAGCAAATAGCAGAAAGCAACATTGTTTGAATGGTCACATGACTTTCCCCTCATTACATGTATCTTCCTGGAAACACACCAAACAAATAATAATTTGTAATAATTTGTATGGTTTCAATAATAATAATAATGATAATAATAATAATAATTATAAAACCAATAATATTAAATGTATTTATAATAATAATAATTATTATTATTACTTTAAATTAAACTATGTATATCTCAATTCTTCTGTTACTTGATTCACAGTGGCAAAGATTTTTTAACAGTGCATACTATGATGGTATGTATGCACTGTCTAAAGTCACACGGTATGTGCGTGATGTCTATGAAGGATTACAGCAAGCACCAGAGAATACTGAACCTCAGAACCAGTGCCCTGGCCCTAAAAAGGAAGTGGAGTTTGAAGATCTTGGAGATACAAGTGTTCCATCTGTTAATGGCAACAGTAGTTTGCCAGAAAAGGTACCATGTACACTTAATACCAACCTATTATATGTACTTTTTAAATTTTACTTCTTATTACTACTCAGTGGCGGGATCCAGGCGGAGATTTATTAACAGTGCATACCCCCTCCCCCCCCCTTATCTGTAGGTCTGGATCTGCCACTGTTACTGTTACTAATAATAATCAGGGGTTTCAATAAGAATTGAAGTAGCCAGCAGGTTTGAATAGAGTAACCGACTGTATCAACAACGGGCCACTAGTGCCCTTTTTCTAAGGAGGGAGGAGGGGGTTTGGGCGCATTCTGCCACAGAATGCCTTTAAGAAAACACATCATAATTACGTTTTTTCATTCAGATTTTATGATATATTGTTCATCTACAATGTTACATGTATTCAAACTAGTTGCTTCTTCTCTCTAGAAAAAAGTAGCCGACCTCTACGAGTAAAGTAGCTGACGCTTTCATTGGTCGTCGGTACTTATTGAAACCCCTGAATAATAATTATTAATAATAATAATAATATTGTAAGATTTAATGGAAGGTGATGCCATGTACATGTATGATTTGCAATAAATTGTGGGGAATGAAAGTGCATGACTTTTTAAAGTACATTCATTAGTATTGTTTATTATACTGCATTGTAGGTTATGTACATGCATAATTTTTGTGTTGTGGTTCAATTTTATTTTTGGTTTAAATTATAATTGTCTTTCATTCAATTGAAACTCAGTATCATAATATAAGACCATAACCAGAGACAAAGGAACAAAACATCTACCAACTGTATCTACTGTACATGGCTTTGGTTATTGTTGCTGCATGTATCATGTGGTATTTAAATTAACAAGTACTTTTTGTTATTTTATACATGAAGTTGATGATTTTCTTCTTGTTTAATGGCAGCGAGATCTTGGAGAAACCCCTGAAGTAACACGCTGTGAACCGTTGAGACTTAACGAATGGCAGTCATTTCTGGATGACGCTGGAAGGGTGAATAATGTGAAGAAACTGCGTGATAGAGTCTTTAGAGGGGTATGTACTTTGTAGTACTTATACAAACATTAAGTGAGGCCACAACCAGTTGCAAAAATACACTCCACCAAAAAATTCGCTGTGCCCGTGAGATATAGCACTCACCCCTCCCTGCCCTCCATTCAAAGCTGTCCTCCAAGTTTTAAGCATGGTCTTGTTTTAAGAACACAATGTTTATGTAGTTATCTGCTTCAGTGTCTGTTACATTTAGGTAATGATACATGTTATGAATAGAAATCTATGCTCATCATGCCTCTCTTGAACTTCTCTCATATACCAGGGTGTTGATGATTTAATACGTAAACCAGTCTGGCAGTATCTTTTGGGCTATAAAAAGTATGGTTACACAGCTCACTCACAACAATCCCTCCTCAAAGGAAAGGAGTAAGTACATGTAAATGACTTGGCATGTAACTTTCGCATCTCACTGATTGTGAAGACATTATTTTTCTTGGCATGGTTTTCACACATGTTTACATCTCTGATGCCACAGGGTTGTCTAAAAGCTCCAAGCGACTTGCAAGAATCGCAGTCTTGTGGTCATGAACTTATATGTATCTTTGTAGGATAATAGATACCTCAACACCTTTGCTCAGTGTAATTATGTTATATATAATATAGAGAGAGAACTGATGTGGGCAATACATGTAAAAGGCTCTGTCTTCATACCTAAAATTCTTTTCCTTGTTGCTCAAAATGTATTGAAATGCACTTGTCAACGTCTCCTAAATTAACATTTGCCCATTGAAGGCTCTTGGACTTCCCCAACCCCTACGCCCATACATTTCAATGTTATCTATCGCCGACTACTTCAGTTTATTTCCTTCTACCTTAAGTTTTCTGGAGAACCCTTTGATAGGTTTCAATATTTTACCGTAGAACCTATCAAAATTCGAGATGTTTTGAAGACAGAGTTGTGCATTTGAAAGGTTTCCTTGCAATTTTTTTTTAAAATTGGGACATCTTTGCCTTAATAGCATCTTGAATAAATTTACGTATATAAAAAACTGCCTCTTGGCTTAAATTTGTGTGCAAAGGAAGGCAGGAAGGAGAAAACGCCTCTCTTTTTTCTCTTTCCCATATTTTTTGCACTTCATCAACAGTCAGTTGCTTTTGTTCTCTACTAGCCTGCGAAAACATCCTCGCTCTTCGCCGCTGGGGACGTTTCGCGAGGAGGAACGTCTGCGACTCAGCGACAGAAATTCCATACTGATGACGTAAAATCTGTCCGGAATCCGGTCAGAAGTGGTGATTGGTCGACGGAGTAGTTACATTGTTTTAGCTTTTGTTTACGAATGACAGACAAAAGACAAAGGGCCAAAAAGGTCAAATGTAAATGCGAAGAATCTCTGACAAAACAGTCAATATTTCTGGAATGTAGTCTTGTCTTGAAGAAACATTTGAGCTTTGTTGGAGCTCGTTGGCAGATGAACACAACACTTCACTAAAATCGACCAGAAGACACACATAATTGGACAAATTTATGTTTGGAACCCCATGACTACCGGATTCATTATGTAAACATTGACTTGCGTCATCAGCATGGAATTTCTGTCGCTGAGTCGCAGACGTTCCTCCTCGCGAAACGTCCCCAGGGGCGAAGAGCGAGGAGAAGCGGATGTTTTCGCAGGCTAGTTCTCTACCAAAGTAGGAAAAATGCAGTGCCTGCCCTGAAGAGCAGGGAGGCAGTACGAAAAGATGCTAACAACATGTTCCATATGAAGACTTTATTTTGTGATGCAGTACGCTAACTTATTCCTTTTTATTTCCATGAATGTTAAGTTCTGTCCTTTCTTGAAAATAACTGTTTATAAACATTTTTACTCCTGCAATGTCAACTACATTTTTTTGTTAACTCTCTATGACTTTTATTACCTTATTATTTATTTTTTGGCAGAGATGAATACAGGACAATGAAATGGCAGTGGCAGTCAATGACAAAAACACAGGAAAAAAACTTCTCTGAGTTCAGAGAAAGAAAGCACTTGATAGGTAAGTACACCTGTAAAATAAGAACTTTTATTGTATGCACAGCTTATTGTAAAAAAGATTAGCACACAGGATATAATATAGGAGAGTAAATTTGAAAGATTTTCAGATTTCTGAGAAGAAAAGCCTGCATATTCCCAAATTGTTTACGTAACAAAAATAAATCACAAATCACCGGAGAATGCGATAAAAAACCTTGGCAGGCTCTTTTAGCATTGCCCTTGGTTACAAAATGTAAGGATTTATATGAAAATTTGATGTTGCTTGTGTACTGAACAATGAGGTAATGGAAAAGAACCCCAAAGTGCCTTTAAAGAGAATACCATATACCTAAAAATGGTTTGTCTGGTTACTGAGAGAAAGCACACCCACATACAGTGGATAACTATGTGGGAAACTGCAGACGGTCACCACCTTTTTCCATTTCCTCCTTTCCTAGCCCCTGAGTGTATTTCGATCATCGGCGATCACTGTCTAATGTGTCAACATACATTCATATATGGAAAAAAGTGTCCAAAAAATCGTTTCTTATTATACCAATAATCTACAAATGGCAACAATGTAGAAAAGCGAGATAATTTATACCCAAAATACCGTATACCTGAATGAAAAAGACCTCGGACACCGTAATACCCAAAACCTCTTGCCGGGCCTGATGAAACGTTTTCCAAGCTTAGCAAACCCTCCCTAAAACCCTTCTCAGACCCTTCATAAACACTTTACAAGCCTTTTACAAACGCCTTTGAAAGATCTAATTTGGTTTGATCGAGTTTGAAACTCGGTTGGTTTTCAATGTTCGATAAGTCGTGTTTTTCCTTTGGAGGGGTGGTGTAACAAGATGTTCCATCTTTGTTATTAGAGACCTTTAAATTCGAGGACGAAAACGACTACGAGGACGAAATTTGAGTTCACTTAAAAAATCGACTCCACGGAAAACTTCATTGCACTTTTTTCACCAGAAAAGTTAGCACTGTTAACTTTGTTGAAGGAGATTAAGCCTTCTCCCGGGCAAAAAATTATAAAACTTCTTACATTTGATATTAATTTTGTTTCCGCCTCTACTACATTCTCGCTAAAACTCGTTGTAGAATGACGACGGCTATTACGTTTTCCCGCCAAAATGGCGTTTGCTCACGCGCGCACTAATTAGTATTAAGAGAATCTCGTCCTCGAAATTAAAGATCTCTATTGATTCTGTACCTACAGACAAGGATGTAGCAAGAACAGACAGACTCCATGTATTTTATTCCGAGGCAAATCATTCCAATGTGAAGAAGCTTTATGATGTTCTTCTCACCTACTGCCTGTACAACTTTGATTTGGGTAAGCTGAAAAAGCATTTGCTCAGTCGAAATTCGCCACTTTCAGTGATTTTGTTACAAATAGTTATGGTGAGTCCTGCGACTCATCTTATGAAAAATCATGAGTCCTTGGCCAAAACTGTTTATTGCAGTTTACTGAAATTAAAATATATAGCCCTTCGATATATTTAAAGCACAAAAAAGACTAAAATAAATATGCATCTTTAAACAACAGCCACAAAAATCACCCCAACAGGATATTTTACCAAAAAATCTTCAAATCGATCGATCGTTCTTTGCGTCCTACGGGACGCATGCCATGAATTATTTTGCGTCGTGTGCGGATTTTTATGCGTCAGGGAGGCAGGACGCAGAGGTAACTCATCACTGCTCTTTAGAAACGACAATGAAAATTGGTCGAGTTAACTTTTACAAAGACTTCTGGGACTGTTGCTAGAGACAGGGAAATGAAGTGGCCAATAGCTGACCGACGCGTAACGATCCCAGAAACACTTGCGGGATGCATCTCGGCTTCAGTTCCTTCTCGTTTCCAAACTGGCGAATTTGATTATCAAACTTTACAATAAAAGGAGCGACTTTGGTTTAAGCGAATAAGTTGTAAGCGAAAGATTCAGGGTGATGAAAACCTCAGTAGTTACCTAGTCATAAGCGGCAGTTCTTATGTTATATATGTTCACGTAGATAATTTTTTGTTTAACCGACATGATTGTGTTTTACATGTAAATGTCCAAGTTTAAATGTTTGCAACATAATCACAGGCGCCTTTATCAATTTTTACTGCTATTACTTTGGATAAATGACAAACATGAATTTGAAAACTTATTACTACCATTTTTCGCCGTGTTTTCAGGTTATGTGCAGGGGATGAGTGATCTTCTGTCCCCGATTTTAGTTCTGATGGAAGATGAAGTGGAAGCCTTTTGGTGTTTTGTCGGCTTCATGGAGAAACTGGCAAGTATATTGCTGTAGTTCAAAATATCCCCCCGTGTAAGGTAATCGAAGACAGTCTTGAAGTCTAACTTCGCTACGTTACAGAAATCGCACCGAAATCATGGTTATTATGCGCGAACAGAAGCCCCATCCGGTATGGTTTTCCTGCCCGAGCAAGAGCTGCCCGGCATAGTGTCAATGTGAACTTAGTTAGATACGTGGGCAACTTAAGTAACACAAATCTTGTATTCTCTAGGCACATAATTTTGATGAGAACCAAGAAGGAATGAAAGCACAGCTCCATCAGCTGACTGTTTTACTCAAGTTTGTCGATCCTCACTTCTACAACTATTTAGGTAATTTTTTTATCGCTAAATAACTAGTCGAGAAGTGAACCGTTCACTAATTTCTGGGGATTCTAAGGCGGAGCCGAGGGAAACAATTAGAGAGCTTAGTTTTGAGGACGACAACGAGTACGAGTACGAGATTTAACTGAACGTTTTTGTGCGTGTTCTAAAAAAAAGACACCCCGGTAAGCTTCAATTTTCATTTTTTCACCAAAAGGGTTAGTACGGTTATTTATACTGAAGGAGGTTAAGCTCTCTCCCGATAGCAGAATGATAAAACTTCTTCCATTTGATAAATTTTTTCTGCCCCTACGACACTCTTGCTAAAACTCGTAGTAGAATGACGACGGCTATCGCGTTTTCCCGCCAAAATGACGCTGGTTTACGCGTGAGCACTACTTGGTATTGAGAAAATCTCGTAGTGGTTCTCGTCTCAGAATCTAAAGCTCTCTATTAAGGCCCAGTCCACATTAATCCAGATATTTTTGAAACCGCATTTGTTTTTTTCACACGAACCGATCTTTCGCTTCACCGAAACCGGGACTGCTGAGTGGTTTAAGATCCCATGACACGAATCAGGGTTAAAAAAAGTATGACTGGGCATAAGCTTCAGGAAAACAAATTAACTGGTTTCCACCGGGGTCCAGGGCCCGGTTGTTGAAACGTTGGATAGCGCTATCCACAGAATAAATAACTATCTTACTATCGAATAAATGTTTGGGAAACCAATTGCGTTATCCAGTGGAGAGTGATTTATCCAGTAGATAGCGTTATCCGCTATTTACTATCGAATAAATGTTTGGGAAACCGATTGCGTTATCCAGTGGAGAGTGATTTATCCAGTAGATAGCGTTATCCGCTATTTACTATCGAATAAATGTTTGGGAAACCGATTGCGTTATCCAGTGGAGAGTGATTTATCCAGTAGATAGATATTTATCCGCCTTGAGAACAACTGGGGTCAGGCAAAAGTTGTCTCCTACGCAGCCGTTTTTTGTGTGACATTATTAGGTTAGTGACATTAGAATGTCTCATTACTATTATTATTATTGGATCCAATATGTGTTGGCTGACATTTGTAGGTAATATTGCACACTTCAGTGTTGTGCTGTGATAGATGTTGCATATAGTTTCTCATTCGGTAAAGAATATCAATGATGAAAACGCTGTTGCTGATGATGATGATGACGACGTGGGCTTTCTTTTGAGGATACACTGTTGAGGGTCGTTATGGGTTTCCAATATTTCAATAATGTGACCTGAATTACATTGCGACTACTGTTACCGCCGTCACTTAGGCAGAATTTACCAATTAGATTACACGAAAATGACAGTACAGTCCTTGTCGCCTCCGATATGGCTCCCGCTGGGTATCCTAATAAAAACAGCAGTAAGGAATTTTTTTTGTCGATTGGCCCTCCGTAAACACGTATCGCTTTCCAGAGGAAAACTTTCTTTGAGCCGTTTTCCCTTACTCTTGTGGACGGATGAAAAAAGAAATTTCCTTAAACGGCGACTCCACAGTATCTGGTCTCGCGAGGAATAAGAATGTTTTACTCCAATCAGACATTGTCATTTTTAAGACTCGTTGTACATTTAAGCTTAAGAGCTTAAACGCTTGATAATTTTGAATTGGACTTAATAAGCAGGGCTCTTTTTCCGTCCGCTGTCAAGAATCCAAAAGTACTCGGAGATTCTGAATTAAACCATGCGTAAAAGCGCTTGGCGAGACAACTTTTTTCATGCCTTTTATTCATTGTATACTTTGTGTAATATATGTAAGATCTACTTGGCATTCAAAAAGTAATATGAAAAATATTTGTTTGATGGAAGCCTTACGCAATCTTGCTTTTAAAATAAGATATCTGTTATATTTGATTGTCTTTCCAGAAAAGCACGACTCTGGTAACCTATACTTCTGCTTTAGATGGCTGTTGATCTGCTTCAAGCGCGAATTCTCCTTTCCAGATATTATGACTTTGTGGGAGGTAAGACCAAGTCCAACTGGCTTCGAAACAGCAATAAGAACTATTTATTCCCCACTTTTGAAACGAGAAGGGAACTGGAGTCGAAATACATCCCGTACTTGTCTCTGGGATCGTTACTGGGGGCGCGTCGGTCAGCTATTGGCCATTTTTTTCTCTGTTCTTAGTAACAATCCGAAAAGTCTTTGCGAAAGTTAACTCTGCTTAGTTTCGTTCTTTTTTTTTAAAATGGCCAATTAGAATAATAGTTTTTTTGTGATGTGATATATATTTGTTATTTAATAGAGAGATTAAGCATCGCGTTTACGGCAAACAGCAAACGTGAGATTAAAGTTGAGAAATTCTCAAAATGAGAAATGAGCAGATAAAAAACAGCTGAAAACAATTTTTATGGATAGAATTGGCGTGAATCTACCGATTTTCGTGTAGTTGTAACAAACAGTAAACGTTAAGTAAATTAAAGTAAATTTAAACCTTTTTCACGTGGTACAAATTCACGTTTGCCGTTTGCCATAAACGCGATGCTTAATCTCTCTATTGACCCCCAAAAGACATTGCAATCGTTTCTATTTTCCAGACGCTGTGGTCTCAAAACTTGTCACCGAATTATCACTTGATTGTCTGCTTGGCCATTTTGGACAAACATCGCCGTATTATTATGGAGAATGAATTTGGATTTACTGAAATCCTCAAGGTGTGTAGAACGCCGTTAAACACGTTTTTAATATTGTTGGCAATAGGGTCTGTGGAATAGTTGGACCAGACTGGGAAGAAAGGTTCGAAAAGGGAGAAGGTGTAGACCTTTGAAATTAGTGGAAGTGAGCGCTAAGAGAAAACTAACAAATAACGTCTAAGTTTTCAGTTGCCAGTTTCGCGTGCTGAGAACCTGACCACCACAGGGCATGTCGAAAGTATTCCATTTAATGTTATGTCACGATCACACAAGTCCTTTCGCGTAAAGCCAGTTCAGCTCACCATTTGAATTAAAAAAAAAAGAAAACACCTCTCACACGGTTTCAAATTTACATAGTTTTTAGCTTGAAGTTGCTTGAAGAAAAAAAACTTTAAAAAAATCACAGAGCAGAAGAGAACGCGAGCTTCTAAAACATCTTTTCTTCAATGGTCGTGATGTGGCGCATGTTTACGTTCACCCTTCGCGGGCAATTTGGCACATTTGTCTCTCGGATTGGAATTAACGAAAGCCGACGGATTTAATACAAAGTAGCAGGAACCGTTAAAGAGAGTGAATACGGGAAGTAAAAATTAAAGGAAGCACATGTAGTAATTTCATAGGTTGGACTTCTAGTACGCTTTGATTAAAGATTCTTTGGTTTGTATTTGAAATATTTCCTTTGTGTAAAGTGCGGTATCTTTCATGCCACACGCTCTCCTTTTATGGAAGGAGCCAGGAGGGTGTTGAAAGGAGGCTGTTACACGCATGCGTAACTTCAGGAGCAGAGAGAGCTAACAGGGAGAGGTATTATTCTCACTCGTCGGCTAAGCTTTTTATGCGCCTGCTCGAATCTTTCACTTCTTCCCGTTTACAACACCTGCCCGTGTGGAATGCCATCACATGGATCCTTCTTACAACATTTTGTTTTCTTTGCTAGTATATAAACGACCTGGCGTACAACATGGACGTACAAGAGGTGCTCTCCAGAGCTGAAGAACTCTGTCTTCAGCTTCTTGTTCTTCCTGAGTTACCAGAGGAAGTTAAGGCCATACTTTATGGCAAAAACGAAGCCATGATGACCCCCAATGTTGAACGACCAGATCCTTTCCTTATGGCTCACAGCAGACATGTTGTTGATTTACTAGAAGGACAAGGAGCTGGCACGGCTAGTTCGTTCATGTATTCGTCTGTGCTGGCGGCTTTTAGCCCACAGGAATCATCGCAAGAACTAAACATTCTAGAAGACTGTGATTTCACTCAAACGGACATGAATGACTTAGATGTCGGTATCGCTAGAACAACCCTTAATGATACAGAACCCAGCGAAAACCGAGCCAACGAAGAGGTTGTCTCTGATGAGGAAGAAATTGTGGTTTTATCGGAAGAAGCGCAAAATATATTTTGATATTTGTAACACAAATATGTGATAAATGAAACTGATAGTGATGAATGTTTTAAGCATGGTAACAAAACTATTTTTTATGGAGAATAATATAAATCACTTCTCTTGGTTTGCCCAAACATTGTAGGTGGAGTTCTGTGGAAGTCGAAATTGCCTGGCTCCTTGTAGTTTTGGCAAGTGTACCTCAAACTTTGTGCTAAACCATTTTAGTTTGACCTCGAATCGGTTACGCTGAAACAAAACTAAAACAACAAACGAATAAGAATAAAACAATAAACACTCGAGAAATATTTAAGGTATTTTCTCTTAAAAATTCCTAATGTTTCGAAGAGAGATCTGAAGGAAAGAAAATTAACTGGTATGCCGAGGGACTAATCATCAAAACATTTGTTTACAAAACTTCCACGTGTAGAACTTTGTACCAGTAAATCTCAGCGAACGGTCAACATTCCCGGATAATCGTGCACTTTTACGAGTGGGAAAGGCGGGGATGGGGGAAGGGGGTGTTGTTACCCTCAGACATCCTAGAGTTTGCAATGTTGCCCTTCCAGAAACGTTTGGCGGGAAACAGTTAAATTGCTAGCTCTCATGCGCCCTCGAAGCAACCAATGAGAGCACACGCTGTTGGGGAAAAGATTCCATTTTTATAGCCGTTTGATTTGGTCAAGCGAACAAAGTCAAATGCGGGCGGTCTTTCTGTTGGTTTAGCAACCTTTGCAATGCATGAACAGCTAAGCCTGTGGCTGGCGGGATTAGCGGGCGAGTGGCGATGATTTTTTGCGGCAGAACCACGAGAAGATTGAAGCAAGTCAAATTGCAATCCTCTCGGCTCCGCCGCCAAGAAAGAAGCCCGCGCATCTCAATACTTCTAGTTACGCAGGCTACATTCCCAGCTGGAAAATACATTGCTTAAAATTTCTTCATAGAGCAACTTTCGTATGACCTTGAAAAATGGTTTCAGTAAGAGTTCGTTATATAACAATTATTCACCGAAGTGGAGGTGGCTAGTAGGAGGTATTCACGGACGCCGCGAAGCGGCGAGGTAAATATCCACTACTAACCACCGACACTGAGGTGAATAATTGTTTTAGTATATACTAAAACAGTGAGATAATTGAGCACAAAAATGATGATTTTTAATTCATTTACTGTTGCCAACGATTACAATTTTGGCGCGCGATGACCGAACGGCCGCGGACGTCGCTTTTTCTTGGCGACAAATAAAACTTTTGAAGGCGTTTGTTTAGCTCTTGCGGGGAAGTTTCTTCAAAAGGAGTTGTGAATTCTTTTTGTGTTTAAAATCATTCTGTAAAAAAGATTATCAAATTTAGTTTTAAGCTTATTTATGAGCAAGTCAACTAAATAAAGTAACGCAAGACTTCAGCTCAATTTGCATTTGTAAACAAAAAACTTTTTTGCCGGTTTTATCGATAAATTCAAGTCAAAAAGACAAAGCTTTACCTGTTAAAACTTCCAAATCGAACTTTGTCACCTTCTTCATGTATTTTGAGAATAGCTTGCTTGATTAGTTGTGAAATTTCTTAGTTTGTTACGGCAGCAAATGTTCGAACGTTTGCTTAACCCGAACGTTCCCGAACGTTCGCTTAACCAACCAAATCGCTCTATTTCCGTTCGTTTGTTGTTTCTGTTTTGTTCGCACGTTTTCATTCCAAGGTCGTACGAAAATCGCTCTAACTGCGTTGCCGATTGGACAATTCAGCGATTCTTTTTCTATTTTAGGTTTTTCTTTCTCACGACAAAAAGGCGAGTCCCTGTTTTGATCTTTTCAATTCTTAGTTAAAAACCAGTATTGAATGAACACTGGTGGAAGCTATTTTTTGAACTCTAGGATTGAATTGCTTTCTGGCAGATGAACTTTGATGGGGTCCAAGCGAGAGCTCTGGTTTTAGCCTAAATTTTCTGAAATGTTACATCGTTTGGCTTTTTTAGTACAATAACATGTATATAGATGAACCGTTTTACTCAAAACAAGGCAGTAGCTTCGTTGTAATGGTCGAATTGTTTGTACGCTTAGTGGTTAATTAAAAATACGGAGCTTAAGCATCGCATAGGCGAAGGCTGCGAAAACGTCACTACTAGAAAGAATTCCTATGTTTTCAAATTGTATCGCGTTTGTTCCAGCTCGTTTAAGATGTCAAATATACGTGACAAAGCGTCTAAATTTGAAGAACTCATTAAAATTAAGATTATTAAAAAATTGTTCAACACCGTGAAGTTTTGGAACGAAAATGACATTGCGCACGTTTCATTCTGTAGAGACTAAATTACTCACTTGAATTGGAAAGTAGTTTACTTATGTAATCTCTCAGGTTTTCACAAATTGGTGCGCAAAGCTAGTGGGCTTTTATACGTCTTACGAAACTGCATTGAGCTGGCGTTGACTAATGTCAACTAACCAAACCACTAACCAAACTATTTGATGCGCTGATTTGTTGTCTTGATGTTGTTGTCTTTTTTCAAGGGAAACATCTCAAACCCATAGTTATTCGTACATGTAATTACAAAAGTTAAAGTTCGCAAACGACCAAACTAAACAGCGTATAAAAAACTATTAAAAGTTATATAATGATGTTATTCTTATAATTTATATTACGTAAAAAGCAAAAAGTCAAAAGGCAATTAGTTTATCACAGTTTTTACGAAATACTCGGCAATTAAAAACGCCTTGATATTGCGAGGAAAAGTTAATTCTTAATCGTGCCTTTTCCTTTATTTGATTAGTTGCGAGGGTATTAAAAACCGTGAATGTAGGCTGTGGTAAACTATTTAGGGAATCCCTCCCACGTAACTTTTGTCTCCTAAGGGCCTGTTTACAAGGAGATGGGGTCTCCAGATAGTTGAGGTAACATACGGGGGGTCACCCCACCTATCATGAAATTGAAATGAGAGATTATATGGACAGGCGGTTTACCCCACCTACCCCCACCTTCCTGGGATTCCCCACCTCCATGTAAACAGGCCCTAAGAGGCGCCGGTTTCTTAACCCTTGACACCCAAACAACTAAATTTAACATTCTCATTTGTTGTCCTTACACTTTTAAGGCTCAAGGGCTTTAGGGCCTGTTAACATGGAGTGGGGGACCCCGGTCTAGTGGGGTTGGTTTCTTTTGTTTTCACGCTCTGGAGGACACAAGACAAAAGAAACTTACCCCACTAGACCGGGGTCCCCCACTCCGTGTAAACAGGGTCTTAGAGATCGTTTATAGATAGATGCCACTTTTTACTTAGTGAACAGCACCATCTATTGTGCATAATTTGGCTCTGATCTGTTCTTGTGTGAATAAAGACTTCTAAACTATTATTGTTGTTATTTATTGTTACTATTATCGATACATCTAAATTGTGTTACGAAAGTAAGAGGTGACTGAATTCATGGCTGTGCATGGGAAACAATACTATTGCCATCTAAACTGGTTTTCTATATGAGTGACCCACAATATCTCGGTCATGCAATGAATTACTATTTTAATCTGGGGAACCCAAAGATACCATGGTGCTTGGAAACAGCAGCAAAACACGCCCGATCATCGTTGAATAACCGTCACAATGACTGCTATGTATTGATTGTCCAAATTTCACACTTCGAGCTTTGAGTTTTTACTATTACTATGATTATTATTATTGTTGTTATTATTTTTTCAAAAGGGTAAAACAATATAGTATTCCAACAGGTAAACTCTACGGCTAAATGACTCGACCTCGTGATGACTGTAATATTTTTCTCACAACTCCATTTTCATGAATATGGTTATGCTCTCAATTTAACTTTTGCATTATCGTAAGACGTGCAGACCAGCAATTGCGTATTACATAAAACGCGATCAGCCGCTTTGAGCTCTAGTTTATTCTTAAAAAAACGTAAGGAGAAAGAATTCCTCATCAAAGGCCGGACAATTCACAAGAAAGGGCAAGTAATAATAATAGTAACAATTATTCCGTTATTTACCCTCGACAGTATTTATAGCACTAATGCTAGTGGTGCTGGGCAAATGCCTGAAACAAATAACCTAAATCAAACTTAACAGGGTTAAGAATCCCAACTAGCCGGAGGCAAATTAAAAGCATGGCCGAGGAACTGAACTCGGTACAACAGTGAACAAATCTAGCTAGCGGTCAGAGCTGGATTTAAACTCGGGGCCTCCAAATTGCAAGCATTAGGCAACTCGGCCTCCATAGCATAAGTACAATAGGAACCTTAAGCAACTACGACGACGATAACATCATGGTCAAAAAACAATTGGTTTTATGAGCAAAACAACAGCTCTGCAAGTGCATCACGCTTTTTAGTACATTTCTTTGACGTCCACTGCACGACTACGACGTGAAACCTCCCAATGCGACGTTTTATGGAGGACGTGGACATACGACGACAAAGTTTCGTTTCTCTGTTTGAACATGGATAAAACCCTTAAGAATTCAACTCCAGGAAAAGTGGCCTACATTTGACGAGTTGAGTGGTTCCAAATAGACGCGATAAAGTTTGAAAGGACGCAAATTCGTATTTTTAGTGATGTTTTCATTGCCGTTGTCGTCGTCGTTGTTGCTTAAGCTCCCTAATAAGTGATAGTATAAACTCAATAAGAAGCGATGTTTTCTATTAGATACTGAGTTTTTGTTTAAAATTCTACTAAGGATGAAAATAGCAAAAGCATACATACTTTTCATAACACAAAGGACAGGTGGAATGCGTAAGCCATGAACTGAGACTAAACGTGTGATACAGAGCTTGGTAAGCGAAGGGGCTAGTATTGTGGCTCATGCAGATTTTAAACATTTGTAACAGCCTCTTAATTCGATCATTCAAGGACAGAAGGTCGCGTTATAGTAGAAACCTTAAGATACACTGCTTCCGTTTACGGGTAATGGTAAATTACCCGTAAGCGAACCATAAATACGGTTACATTGCGTCTCACCCCGGATCGAGAGACGACTAGGCTACCAGGTAGAACGGTGATCCTATTATCACATGTGGGAAATAATGGTCACATTTTGTATAATTATGTGGCAAACATGTTTGCCTACCCTTGGCCATAAGGAGAAACTGTAGTCACCTTAAGACAAACCGTTTCTGTCTTCGGGCACGGGTAGGCGAACACGTTTGCTAACGTAGGGCAACCATTGCACAGCGTGGCCTTTCTCTTGAGTAAGAGGCAATCTACACGTATTTACGGCTACGCGTACGGTTAATTTACCCGCACCTCGAACACGGAAACGTTGTATCTTATAAAAAAAAAGTAATGTTGGAGAAGCCTTTTTTGTCACGATGTGGCATTTCCTAGCTAAAACGTTTTTCTTTTTTCTTTGTTTTTTTTCGTAGGTTGTGTAAGGATGTCTGTTGGCTCTAAGAATAGTACTGGACAAAGTAGCTTCACCAAAATCTTGGGTTTTCTTTCTTTTCGTAGGAAAACACTAGGTGAGAAACGTTTTCTTTTGTGTGGCAAGAGCTTCGTCAAATGCTATAAGCAAGAGACAAGAGCACCCAACGACGGTTTCTTCCTAAATACATTGAAAACACTTTTTAGCCTTTCCTGAGTACATTTAGATCTCTAGAGATGCATTTTAACAGGGCTATAGAATTTGTATCGTCATCCTAGAGGAACTTAAGTCTTTTCGAAATTACAAGTTCTTCAGCGTTATTTCCCAGTAAGTTTTAGTAAGTTTGATCACGAAAGTGATGATTTTTCCGATTCGCCTCTCCATCACATTTTTTAATCCGAAGATTATAAGTTTCCTTTTTTCTTTGAAAAATAGCTTAACCTGGGCAATGAAATAAAAAAAAATTAACTCCAGAAATTCGTAGGGAATTGTTTAGATAAGCTTCGAAAATTCTACATGAATCGAACGATCATCTAGAAATTTTAGCAGTCGTCAAGTCGTAAAAAATTCTAGGTAATGTTTGGTTCTCCGAACAGATATTTTAAAGAAAGCAGTCGTTGGGTGCCCCTGAAGAGAGGAGCACCTTTATCCTCTCTTGCTATGACTGAATTATATAACTAGACGAATATTTGTTTACATTATTGGCTTCAATGACATATTAGCTTATCATTTTCTGATCGTTCTATTAAATTAACGTTTTTGAATATTGAAAGAGCATAGCAACATTAGTAATAACTGAAAATTTGAGCCTGCGTGATATAGCAAATAGCCAGGAGAAATTTTGTTTTTAATCTGAAATTATAACAAAAAATGTATGGGTTCATTAACGTTTTTTCCGCCAAAGAATGTCGCACAAATTTCTTAAGTTATCGACAGTAAGTGTTCTGTGGCATTTCTTGCGCATCAGGTGAAGAATCGGGTGATGAAAACATTGACACCAAAGAAGCGGACATCCCCGAAAATGGTAAGTTTCATAATTAAAGACGCTCCAGAATGGATGATTTCTAGTAAAAAAGTAAGGAAAAAGGAAAGGAGCGGGATTCTCTATCATTATATCGTTATAGAAAGTTACCGTACGCATAACAATGAGCGTCCTGTAGCAGCGTGTTTTCCAATTTATATTCACAACTAAGAGATGGGAATGGGTGTGCAGCTCGAACTGTGAGCCTGAGTGTTTTTGCCGTCCAAATAACATACAAAGTTCATCATCATAACTAAAGAATGGTATACAAATATTCCTAAATAAAGTCACTCAGGCTAAACTATTCACGTGCGCCTTCTGATACGAAAACCCAAAAACCCAGTGGGAAAAAATTGTGAACGTATTCCCCAACCGATGCGGTCGCACAACCTCTGGGGGTTGAAGGTAAAAAATCAATTGATAGATGAATAAAGTAAGATATAAAAATAAAAGTTGATACTTCGAGAGCTGAGATGAATACACTACAACTGTCAAAACCTTATATACCTAACAACAATAGAGCCAATTAACGCCATAGCGGCTCACGTGTGTTCATACCAATAGGAAAGTATTTACATTCGCTGTCACTGCCACTACGTTTAGCTCCGCCGAATGTAAATACATTTACCAGCAGACCAAGGGCACTAAAGCCACATTAATGTGGACAAAACTTGTCCCGGGTAAAATGGCCACTCTCCTACCCGAGCTACCCTGGACGAGCCGACTTTTCCCACATTTCCCTAAAAAAACGTTCTGAACCGTTTACACGAGAAACAAAAAACTGGCTCGGCTAGAAGGGTGAACCTCCTTGCTGAGCCAATTTTCTTCATGTAAACACTTTGGCTCGCCCAGCCGGGTCAACTCGGTCAAGGTCAGAGAATCAGAGTATGCGTGCTAGCGCTGTTGGCTCGGGCGGAGAGCTCACATTTTTCCTCATAAATTCTGGCTTAAGTTGACTTGGTTGGGAGGGTGCGCCTCTTCGCCGGGACAACCTTTTCCACATAGACGGGGCCTAGAGGGAAGGGTTCAGTTTATCGACAACTATCAGCAGTATGTGAGCTGTTTCATGAAAAGCAATCTTCTGACTTCACAGTTATTACGCAGTTTTTATTCTAGCATTTATAAGACCTAGGGCTCCAATCACTACTGGTGAGTTTCTGTCTTTGTACTCAGTCTCCGCCGATCTTTGTGTTTGGATAGTTTCTCAGCCACTTCTACCGAAGTGTTACGTTCCACTGAAATGGCCAAGTCCATGAGCATCACTGTCGTTCATGTCCCTGATAACTATGTCAGGCTTGCTGGATATGTATTCCCTGTCGGTTTGGATTGGTATGTGTAGGCTCGTTCATGTAGCTCTTGAAGATCTTCCAGGGAAGGTACGCTGTCACGTTGTTGTTCTGGAAGATCTACTCAGACTTCGCCAGAGATTTTTTCACTCTTTTAGTTTCATAATTATACTCTTCTATTGTTCGGAAAGATCCACTCGGATTTTTAAATCGGACGAAAAACTGAGGTCTGTAAGTCCATATTACAATGCAGTTTTCTTTGTCATTGTTAGAGGTGGAAACTAATCTAAAGGAGCTTATAGAAGAATCACACGACCCACAGCAAAAGCAGCGAAATGTGGATGATATTATCAATATGGTCACTGCTGATAACTTGTGTTCCTGCCGAGACCCCATAAACATGGCTTTTCAGGTACATAACGAATGAGAAATCGCTGTCATTAACTCCGCCAAAGCCAATCTATCGTTTTCGGTCGACTCAGAGAGTTCTTGTCATTCTTATGTCATCATGTTCTTCAAAAAGTTTGGAAAAGACTATATTCGACATCTTTTTATTATACCGGAATTCCATGTTAATCCTTCTTCTGTGCCTGAACGTCTGTATAGACGTAGAAAAATTATTGACCCCTCTCTTTCAAGGTCTTCTTCCTCCTGATCTACCGAGTCATTCATCGTCACCCCAAGCTGAATTGTGTCGCGCCATGTATGGAATAGTCTAAGGGCGCTTTCCATTTATCAAACCTAACCGAGATAGTTTTTCAGCAAAAACTCTTGGAAAAAGTAGCTTATTTCATTGTCAAGAAATGACCGGCCCGCCATGTTCCGGTCGTGCAGTTTTGACTTTTGGAAAGCGCCCTAAGAAGCAGTTGCCACAAAGCGTTGTCGTTTATGCTTTTCTGTCACGAAGGTAGCCTCCCCGCAGACGTCCTTTGGGGTTCGTTTGAATGCGTGACAAACGAACCCCAAAGGACGTCTGCGGGGAGGCTATCACGAAGGATGTTGTGGTGAAAGAAGACCTTTAGAGAGGTCCCAAAAACGTAGAATTTTTCTAGATAGGGTGAGTTTGATAGAGAATAACGGTATGAGCAAATTAGAAGGTTTTGTGCATTTGATAGGTAGTGGAAGTAGAAGTCGTTGTTTGCTTTCTCATGTCCAAGTTATCGATTCTTGGAAGATCTAACAGCCCCAACCTAACCCTCCAAGGTAACGCACACACTTAAGTACGTCTAGTGATTTCAAAGACTCATATCGAGTAAAAGCAATATCAGAGAAGTTGATGTTGAACAATAAAGTACTTGATAATGTACACTTGATAACTTGTTGTTGAAGGTTAACTGCGCACTTCGGCGCCTTGCTGAGGGTTACACGGAGAACACGACATTACTCAACAAGCTTGCAGACCAGACTGAAGATTTTGCTGTGCAATTAATCGATCAAATATCTGCCAACGAGGAGCTGGTTATTCGTGATGAACCTGACGAAGCAGATCGTTATGCTTCATTGCTGAGTCCTATGACCGATGATGCAATCAAATTCTCGCAAAAGAAGGTAAGGAACTTCCTCAATTCAAAAATCATTTCCTGTCCTTTTTAAAGGAGCTATGTCACGATTTTAGTCACTCTGCTATTATAATACCTCAACTACAAGTGTATGTCTTGGGTTTTCATTTTCCCGAATGGAAATGGATTGCAACTTTTTAAGTTATAATTAAAGTCCAGTTTTATTGAAAAAAAAAAACCAAAGACCTATCATGCCTTGTTTTCACTTCGATAGAATCACTTGATATCTTTCAGAGTTATTAGTAGGCCCTAGAATGAGAAAAGATGACTTAGAATGTTTAGTTACAATTTCAGACATTTCAGCTCAAAAGTGACCAAACAATGTGGAACTCCTCATGGCAATTCCTCCTTAAATGTGCGGGCAAATTTCCGATTAGAAGCCAAGCTTAGCTTCACCTTTCACGCAAATAGGCCATTTCCGAGCTACCTAAAGCCTCCGTTTCAAAGCGAAGCATAGTGCAAAGCCATTAATGTCAAAAATGATATTATAATCGATTTTAAATTCATTATAAAAAAAAAAGGTTTTGCACTTAGCCTCATTCTGAAAATGAGGGTTTTTGGAACTTGGAAATGGCTTATTAACTTGACATGACCGTGTTAACTTTTTCTTCGGAGCTTACAAATCAAGGAAAGAAACTTTATCTAGGATAACGAAGTCTTAGCTAAACGTCTAATCTCCCTACATCTAGCAATAATCAGTACTTAAATTGCATCTGTTCTGCAAAGGACTGCTTTCCAGCAAATGATATCGAGAGTTTGCTATCATGGGCAGAGCCTTGTAATTTTTTGTCACAATTGGCAAAGAACTCACGGAGAATGGAGGCTTTCAATTGTATTTGATCACTTCCACCATATATATGGCGCTGGACACACAGCAAATCGGGGCTCCAATTTAAATGTGTCCTTACAGATAATACGCCCAGCCCAGGAGAGGTTGGCCTCACCACCGGGGTCTACTTCTCCTACTCTTTTCGAGCTGTGGTGTGGGTTCTTTTACGTCCCACAAGAACCAGATAAGTGGAAGTGCTGTGAGACGGGACGTACCGTTTTTCGTCCGTATCCGAGAAGATTAGCAAGTCTAACCGTTTGCAGATGTCATTGCAAAGGCAGCACTTTCTCGTCAGTGATTTAAAGACCCTGAGTGTTGGTCCTGCCGGGTTTGAACCTGCGACCTTCCGCTCAGCAGTCCGGCGCTCTCCCAACTGAGCTAACCAGGCTAATTCATGCTCGTTTCCGATTACGTTAATTGCTACTTCGAAGTGCAGACTCAGCAAGAAACTATTTTTTAACTAGGAGTGTAATAGCACTTACAGTCATCTTCTTGTGACTGGAGTTCTGTATTCCTTTGATCTGCAGTTCGTTTCGCACCCATTATTGTACAAAAGGCTTCAAATAAGATGGACACAAGGATTGCCAGAAGTTTTAAGGCGTTGGACCCTGCTTCTTTGGCTTGTGGTTATCATTGACGCGGCTTTGACGCCATTGCTTGTTGCGTTTGTAGGGTTGGCGTTTTACAGAGACCAGAAGAAGGTAAAACGTTATTTTCTCCATATACGACGGAATCCCGATTTTTCGAAACTCCCGATATTTGTACTAATTCTGCTTCTAATTTACATTCGATTTCTCGAACATTCAACATTCAGGAATCAAGAAAAACTCCTTTTCTAGCTACATCCACCCCTAGTTTCTGTAAGGTGCTTTAAAGCAATTACAAAACAACTGTCAAATCCGTCGTTTAAGTCACAAAGAAGCTACAACGCCGTTGTTACACAATTGAGAATCATTTCAGACATCGTACAGAAGGATTTCGGGATAAATAAGAAGAAAGCGCATATCACTGTATTTTGTGTCTTCGCATCAATCGAATTCCAAACTTTGTTATGTAAGACTATATTTTGGCATTGAAACTGTTTCCTGCCGTCTTTCGACAGGGATGGCGAGGATGGACATGGATTGAAATGACTTGAAAAAGTTGGGCATACGTTTTCAGTTTTTGATGCTATGCCTGCGAACATCTCCAAAAAAATATCATGTTCAGTGCTTCCTGGTGAAACTTGTTATTTTCTATCTTTTTCAAAAGCTAAAACGTGTCTTCCCTTCAGTTGAATACTAAAAATAACTGACCGGTTTAGATTATATTTACGCACTGAAACTGTTTCCTGTCGTCTATTGCTACAGATGGCAAGGATGGACATGAATTTTGGAAAAATTGGGCCAACGTTTTCAATTTTTAGTGCTATGCCTGCCAAAATCACCCCAAAAATATTCTGGTTTGTGCTCACTGATGAAATTTGTCTGCTATCTTCTTCCTAACTCTACAGGAGCATTTTTATGTATGGTATTAAAAGGCACCACGTTATGACTTCAATAAAGAATTAACATACGACAGCACTAACCTCGTAACATAGCTACTTTAACATTGGCAGACAACGCAAGCCAGGGAGCCATTCATGGAAATGGGTAATAGGGGTGGGGGGAGGAGGGAGGTTGATACGACGCAAACGACGTAATAGTTCCTATATACCTACGATAGTGTTGAGACACTTAACGTGATATTAGTACTGAAAACTATTGTATTTCGAGTAACATAAGTGTAAATAAGTTCCTTATTGGCGCAACGTTTCTGGGGGTTGGGCTGCATAACGTTATAATCATCTAGGACCAAATATGTTGGTTTTGACACTTCAACTACACAGTAGATGTATCATTAGTTATTTTGATGCTATTTTATGTTCCGTTTTAGTGTCTAAGAAGATTAAAAAAGGCCAGAATACTGAGGCAAAGACTATGTTGTAGGAATTCAGGAGTTCCACCGGGGAATTCTGGAGTCGTGGAGGATTTTGTATGTGTCGAGACGACTTCTGTTGTGCCCTTAAGCAGACGTATTACAAAATCACTGGGGAATTTCGTGGGTATTAATTTTTTCCCGGTATTTACGTAAAATATTTGCCAGGCATGCTCAAGGCGGCATAAACGTATCCAAACAACTGAGCAAGAGACGCTGGCAGCCTGCAGTTAGCCAATTGAACTGAGTGGCTGATAAGAGATCCTATCAGTCAAATATGAGGGAAAAATTGTTCTGCATAACAATTATCCCTATCGTATGCCTGTGGAGGCGTGTGTGGTCGGGCGACTAACACCTCGAACTCCGGATCCGGAGGCCAAGGGCTCAAGCCTCGCCCCGTCGCGTTGTTTCCTTAGGCAAGAAACTTTACTCCACTTTGTCTTTCTTCATCCAGGTGTATAAATGGGTACCGGCGTTGTAACGCGGGGGGGAGTAGCAATACTCCTAGGCATGCTTCATGCTAAGGAAACCGGGATAAGCTCCGGCCGTTTGGGCCTTTGGCTCTCGTGTGCCTTTTTTGCGTTTAAGAATTAAGAATAAAATTTGCAATCATTTTGCGGCAGAACGAGATTTGCGATGAATTATGTTGCTCAGTCGACTGCTTTTAAACTGTCTCCTGAAAAGTTTTTTTTTTTTTGCAGACCAATATTACTGTTACTGCTCATCCCCGTCCGTCTTGTTTTTAAAGGAAAAATTCAGCCATTGGGTTTTTATTGTACTTCACTGCATTGTGTGCAGCTCGCTGTCTTCGGTTCAACCAACTGTGGAGGAGTACTTGATTTTTGTCTACTTCTGTAGTATGGCACTCAATGAATACCAACAGTACAAAAAAGCACCTGTAAAATACTTCAAGTAAGGCCAAGTTTAAATGTCCTGGGGAGAAAATTCACTCGCCTACCCAAGCTACCTTGGGTGACCCAACTTTTTCTACATTTCCTTACAAAACTTCGCGAACCGTTTAGGCAAGAAACAAACACTTGGTTCGGCCTTTTTCGATAGTGGGATTACCCTCCTAGCGGGGCCATCGTTTCTCTATACAACGCTTTGGCTGAGAAAATTGTAAGACATACAGTAGAAACTCGATAACTCGAACTCAGATAACTCTAATTCCCCGCTAACTCAAACTAAATTTCCTGGATAAATTCAGGTTTCTAAGAAACTGCCAACCTACCCCTCCCCTAAGCTAACATTAACACTGTAATTCTCACGTTGGACAAAATGATGGGTTAGGGGAGGGTGGGCAGTTTCCCAGAAACCAAAATTGATCCAATTTTCTTTCTCTTGATCACAATGTCACTTAAATTTAACCCCAATAACGTTTTTGTTTACCTTCAGAGTTCGAGTTACCGGGGTTCTACTGTATGTTAAAAAATTAAAACTGCAGTTAATGATGGATTGGAAACAGTGCCGGATCCAGCCCCTTAGGTAAGGGGAGGGAGGGCGGTCATCCAGACCCTGAGATAAGGGGGGCCAGTCTCCAAAATTTTTTTCCGGCACCTCGGGCCTCAGTTTGGTCTAAAAATAAGGGGGGGGGGGGGCGGGTCCCTCCCCTAGATCCGCCAGGAGAGGGGTGGGGAAGCGGGGGTGGGCGAGGCGCGGGGGGGGGGGGGGGGGGGGCGACCACCAAGGCCGGGGGAGGGGGGGGCCCTTGCCACAATTTTTTTGGCCGGCCCCGGGGGGCTTGGTGTGGGAAAAAAAGGGGGGGGGGGGGGGGGGGTCCCTCCCCTAGATCCGCCACTGGGAATAGCCTTCGTCGCAGACGTAATCTACTTCTTGTTAGTAACGCCTGCGTAGAAGCGCCGACATCCTTGTTCTTGGCCCCCGTCTTGAATACTCTGTTAGTCTTTCTTCACAATTTTTATCCAATGCACTTTGTTTTGAAGTGTGTACTTATGCCCTTGGTATGGTTTTCATTGCATTAGAGACCTTTAGATTTTAAGACGAGAACGAGTAAGAAAACGAAATTTTCTCTATACTAAGTAGTGAATCACAGCCATTTTGCCGGGAAATGCGATAGCCGTCGCCATTATTCTACGAGTTTTAGTAGCGAGAATGTCGTATTGGTGGAAACAAGTTATCAAAGTTTAGAAGTTTTAATATTTCGCAATCGGGAGAGGGTTTAACTTCCTCCATTAGAAATAACTGTGCTAATTTTTAGGTGAAAAATGTGCAATGAAGCTTTCTAGGGTGTATATTTTTTGGGAATACGCGAAAAAAACTTTTAAGTTTAATCTTGTCCTCGAATCTATAGGTCTCTATTCTCTTAACAGGGACATGTGGAACTATTTAGACGTCATCATTGAAATCATTTACATCTTAGTTGTTATCCTTCGAATCACGACCATCGCCCGTGGTGGAGTTCCTTACAACAACCGTTTGTTGGAGATTAGCAATTACCTTTACGGCATTAACACCTTATTGATGGTCCTTCGTATCTCCAGTATTCTCGAGCTCCATCCAGTTGCAGGTCCACTGCAATTGGCCTTATACCGTATGCTGGGAGACCTGCTGATTATTCTCTCTCAGTTTTTTTTCGTCATCCTGGGATTTGCTTTGGCTATCATGAAGAGCTACAATGCAGAGACGTCATATATTTCCCCGCATAACAACTATAATGGAAAACCGGGAACATCCATGGGGTGAGTCTTTTAGTCCATGCAACGTTTATATTGGCAGTAAGATTTTATGTTAAGTATCAACAGGGAATAGGTAACTGATAATTAGATTGTTTGTGCGAAAACTCTTACTCTTACGGGTGCCTTTACCGAATAGAAAACGTGAGTTTTTCATCGTCATACTCTTGTAAGTAGTATAGGGCGCACTGAATGTTCCTTTTTTTGCGGAGAAATCTAGTTAACTTGCGGGGGAATACGTTAACGCCGATGACATCATAGCCGTTTGCCCTTATCTCTTGAATAAAAATAGTGGAATATCATTAAGATAAGGTTATGTGCATCTTTTTATAACTAACGGGTCCCTGAAAACTGAAAAGGTAAGGCCTAACTAAATCCCCGGGAGCGTCAAGCTGATGTTGTGTTGTTTATCCTTGGTCGTGGGAAATTTCGCTGAAAAAACATAGCCCATAGTCTGAAATGTCATCCGTCTCTTGGCCCCACCCTCCAACGGGCGGCAAGGCAAGAGCCCACGCCTTGCCATCCGTTGAGGGGTGGCTCGACGAGACAGATGACATTTCAGACTACATATAGATTATTGTTTTCTCGCAGTTTAGAAAATGAATATGTGTTTTCTTTCGTTGTTAAATATCCATCTTGTCCATTAGTGAGTTTATCTTTATAATTTTAGAGTAGTTTACAAATTAAGGTTGTGGAATTATCATTACTAACCGCCCTTGTGCGACCTTTTTTCAGCTTTGTGAATACATCTGAACTGCTCATCTGGTCTGTACTTGACAAAACAGATTTAAACAAATGGGAAGCGAAGACTAAAGTAACAACTCAATTTGTAAAAGTCCTGTTTTGTATTTTTCTCATTGTGTCTGTCATCATGCTGGTTAATATGCTGGTGGCCTTGCTGACGAAAACATACGACAATATAACGGTGAGTTCAGTAGTAGCCAAGGGGGGGGGGGGGAATACTCCCCTATAATGTTATCTACTGAGAGGCTCCGCCCCAAATGGGTACCTTTTTCAGGCTTCAGGTATATGAATGGGTACGGGTTTCACTAAATGAAGTTCATGAAAGGGTAGGGAAATCTGTCATTCGGTCTGTAAAAATCCGTCAAAAGGCCTAAAAGGGCTAACAGATTCATTGTCTGGCTGTGAAAAAGTCGAGAAAACGTTCTGGTTTTGTGATTTATTCATATTTAGGATACAGTGCAGTTACAGTAGCTAGAAAGGATGGAAAAGTCTTAAGATGGTTTGTGAGGAAGGGGTACCATTACTTTGCTCAATAGGCCCATGTACTTTCCCCATAGCAAAGACAGTTTTTACCACATATCTCATCTGGAGAGTACCCCCCCCCCCACCCCCTCCCACCACCACCACCTTCGGAGTGGAAGTTGAAGTTTAGGGGAAGGCATCATAGAGAAGCGTTCTTTAGCAGCTCTTGAAAGAAATTTTAGCAAGAAAATAGAATTACGAATAGCCAATAAAACTGACTAAGAACTACAATCTTAAAAGAACAAGCATGAGATGTAAATTATCAGACAGCGAATACCTCTGATTATATCATACACGCTACTGGATCTACATAATTCTTTTTTTCATGCTTAGCACTCTACAATAATATACAACATTATGCTCTCATGGTTTTCATGGTGCTAGGATCTTCCACGTGCGAGGATCTCTCAGCTAGGAAAATCTTAGAACTAGGAACATGTAGGAAGATCCTAGCGCGGCTAGGCACAAGTACGACCGTTTGCCTGTAAACTGAATACAGAAAACATATAGCGCTGGGATGATCTGCCTTCTAGGATCTTCCTCCCTCCATATAAAGAACCCCTTAAACACAACCTCTAAATGGCTTAGACAGTAAGTAATAAGTCGAACCTCCCGTGAACGACTACCCAACATGTGTAAAGTGTTAAATGTTGCTTACGGGAAGTAGTCGCTTACGAGAGTCGATCCGCAGGAGGTCTTTTGCGAGGAAAAGTCCGGTCACATTTACTTTTAGGAGAGAATGTATTTGTATTGCATGTAAGTTTTAGGTTATAATCTATTTAAATCCATGTTGTTTCTAAAAGTTATTCTCATACTCTAAATCGCATAGTATATACCGCGAACATAAAGAACAGACCATTGTTTTCTGTGTTCGCTCAGGTCAACAACAAAAAGCAGTGGCGGATCCAGACCTTCAGATAAGGGAGGGACCCGGTCATCCAGACCCTGAGATAAGGGAGAGACCCGGTCATCCAGACCCTGAGATAAGGGAGGGACCCGGTCATCCAGACCCTGAGATAAGGGAGGGACCCGGTCATCCAGACCCTGAGATAAGGGAGGGACCCGGTCATCCAGACCCTGAGATAAGGGAGAGACCCGGTCATCCAGACCCTGAGATAAGGGATGGACCCGGTCCCAAAAAATTTTTTTTTCGGCCCTTAAGGTCTCAGTTTGGTCTAAAAATAAGGGGAGGAGGGGGCCCTCCGGGTTCTTCCCCTGGATCCGCTACTCAGAAGTGGTCGCGGTTGCTTACGAGAGGTGGTCTTTTACAAGAGCTTTCAATTGTAAGGCTTTCACTGAAAGCTTTTAGCATTTAGGATTGGTGGTCGCTAACGAGAGGTGGTGAAGCACATGGAGTTTCCTCTGTAAGTATTTTATTACTTGTTTTTGTTCTAGAATAATGCAGAAGTCGAGTGGAAATTTGCCCGTGCTGTGTGTGAAACTCAGTACAGGGGTATGCACGCTGTTGCTATGCCATTCAATCTCCTCACTGTGCCCGCAAGGCTTTTGTGTTTAAAAGGAGAGGAAGATACCAGAAAAAAGGTGATGTCTTGGATGTTCTCTGGTTTGTTGGCTGTCATGACGTTAATTTAAAATTAGCAATTTACACTATTTTGTCCACTTTTAGCGTTTTTCTCATCAACTTAGTAAAAAATACCTTTTTTTGTAAATTCTGAGACGCTGTAGAGGTCTGGATTTGGAGACAGCAATTTTCTAACTCATGAGGGTGTCACGAAGAGGAAATCATAAAAATAACTGTACAGCTTACTTGAATTGAAAATTAATTAATAAGTGATTAAAGAGATAAAAAACACAAAAATAAACGGATGAATAAATAAGCAATTTAACTGCTCATTCTATTCTTCCGTTCAGTGCCCCCCACCCCCTGAAGTGGGGGTCATCCGTGATATCACTAAGAGGTCAGAACCTTGTGAGCTATCCAGTTTCAGTTTTCTCCGTTTTAAAATTACTCTTCCATTCGTTCGATTATAGGAGGCAGATCAACGCCGAAAGATGTACCAGAAATACTATGAGGAGTGCTTGTTCCCGGTACTCACAAAACGCTATAAAAAGAAATATGGTGGATCGTTTCCTCTGTCTGGTAAGAACTTGCATTTTGTCTAGCTTGGTTTCCTCATTTTGATAACTGCAATGCTTTATTTGCTTTTTGAAGCTCCATTGCCAGCTTACAACAAGCTGAAAAACGAGTAAAACCGGCCTTTTTAAAGGGGCTGTGTCACGGCAGTCCAGTTCATTTTGTTTAATTTTGCTAATCACTCGCCCTCAATCACTATGGAACTTAGAGTAAGCAAAGAAATTACGTGTAAATGACACAATCAGTTGCAAGCAGCAGGGATCATCTTTGAAAAACTGTTAGGCTGAACAGTTTTCAAAAACCCTAATTTCAATCCATTTCAATATTCTTCAGTTTTGCCCATCCGTGAAATCTGTTGTTTCTGTTGTGTTATTTTAACCTTCCTTTAGGGTTTTAAGCGGTTATCTTTGTTTCTCTTAATTTAACGAGCATTTTGTAATTACCTAATTTGTCTTAATTTCATGACACAACTCATATCTTTGAGATATGACCCTCTCCGCCTCTTTCCCCTCTATTCAATTGACAAGGGAGGGTTGGAGGGGGAATCGCAAGCAAAAGATTATTGACACGCCTTTATGGTTGTAAGGTACAGTGTCACACATTTGTTGGCAACTGGTTGTACCTTCTATCCGGCTGATGTGTGGCATCCCGATTGGCTTCATTTTTGGTTTGAAAAAAATAAAAACTTTCAAATTCCAATGACGTTTGTACCCTCTGAAGATTATTCCCAAAGCCCGTCGTTTATGGACAAAGGTTCAAGAAATTCAGTGAAAAAAAAACCAGTAAAACCTGTATTATTACGAGTTTATTACGAACCGCTTCATAACGAAACCCCTGAAAACGAACGACATTCTTGGCCTTAGATAATGAAATAACATTATAACGTAAATCGGTTATTGAGGGATATATTTTCATAGTCTCCTGGCACTTTGTTAAATCGGGGCTCCGCTGAAATAGCGTCTTAATGAACCACAAAATACTAATAAGAGTACAAGAATGGTGAGCTTCCAGATATTTTGCCTTTCTGGTATGGGATAGTCATGTTAAAACTAAGGATATAGTTTAAAATGAAAACTGAACCTTACACAGAACACTGCCAACTGTTAGATTTGCTGCTTTCTGTTATAATTTTTGCGTTTCCTTCAGTTGTATCTTTCACCACGGGGAGTTTTAAGGTGATTTTACACGAGAAAATTCGCAACGACGATTTTTGGCACAACAGAGCGTTGCAACATTGTTGGGACATTGTTTTGAATCCTTGCAACATTATTCCAACGTTGCAACGCTGTGTTGCGCTAAAAATGGTTGTTGCGTATCGTCCCGTGTAACATCACCTTTAAAGGTTGGAAATTGATCTAACAGGCCATTTTGCAGGGACAGGAACATTTCGTTTTCTCTTGTGATGGACACAAGCCTCTATACCTTTTTTAAATTCATGTAACACAAATTTGGGGGCAAATTCGAAGGCCTTGATGAGGAAGTCGAATTCCGCAAAACGCGTGCCGCTTATATTAAGCAATTCCCAACACACTTAGGCTCGATTTCCACCGTCTCCCGGGTCCGGTCTTTGATCCTCCCCGAAGAGGGAGGAGTGCGGGCTCATTTTCCCGAACAGCGGCTGGTAATCGAGCCTACAACACACTGAGACTTATTTAGGCCAGAAAAAATAGCTATAGAAAATGTCATCAACGTTTGTCTTCGATCGACTTCTTTCAAGTATTCTTGGTTTGCAGCCTCGTGACATGGTGGCCATGTTGGTGTTCAATACAAACAGTTGACTCCCGATAACTCGAACCCTCGCTAACTCGAAGCAAAATCGATTTCCCCTGGATCACCGTCATACATTTACTGTAATTTACCCTCGGTAACTCGGACCCTTGATAACTGGAACCTCCCGCTAACTCGAAGTAGTTTTTGTTTCAAATCAGATCATTTCTATATAATTTTACCCTCGATAACTTGAAGGATGTTTTGAGCCCTTAAAAAGTCGGTGAAAAAAAAACAGTCTACTGGCGTCCGAAACATTGAATTTTGAATTTGCCATTGACGTGTTGTAGGAGTATAGTTTATTAGTGGAGGCTGATGTTGTTTGTCACAAATCTAACGTGAAACAGCTTTACTTCTCAAAACAGTAAAACGCATGCTCTATTTAGGCTATGTTTTGTTACGTTACGTTCTGATTTACAGTCAAGAGGTATCTTTTAATTTTCACTTGACATTTCTTTCACTGCTGCAGTAAAACTGTTCTTTACCTTACTCCCGACTATTTCCTTCGAGCTCCCGATAACTCGAACTTTTTTCGATTTCCCTTGAAGGTTCGAGTTATCGGGAGTCGACTGTAAAAGTTGTTTCGAAGAATTTACATGAAAATAGAATTAGTTCCCAGAGGAGAGAAATGTTTTTGTTCTTGACCACCAATATGGCTGCCACAAGTCACGTGCAAACCAGCAATTGTTTCTGCAGGGGCTCTTTTTCCCAGCGGCCATCTTGTTTTGCTCCGTGAGAGGAAATCACCTTTGAAAGCTTAAGTTCAACTTCTCCTAACAACTTTTGATCCTCAAAATTTGGAAGGAGTCAAGGGTGAGTTTCGTGATGCTATGAGTAACCTGGCATCGATGGGAAGGATAGCTCTGTTCAAAACCACGCAAGGCAGACAAACGCGAGCAAAATTAATTGGTCATCAAACGCATAGTATCCGCTTTTTTTTTTTGAAAACTCATTAATATAGCATTCCGATATACAGTAATTGATGATTTTAATTTCTGTTTCAGTTGAAGAAAAGATGGACCTGATAATGGAGCGTCTTCAACAACTGAAAATCCCAGCCTCCCATGCCAAAAATATTTCACCGGACCAGGTAAAAATTATGTATTACTTAACAACAAGGGGGGAATTCGCTCTCTCTCCTCATTCTCTTATAAGCAGTTAAGTCCCTTATCATTCACTGCTATCTTTTAGTCATTTTGTCAATATACGATTTACTCAGTTCATAAATAGCAAGTTGTCGTTCAGTTATCACCGAACCAACGTAATTGTTAGATGGTGTTAACAATAGGCGAGATAAGGCCCTATTTGTTCAAAATGTGCGTAGTGTTATCCAATGGATGAATCACCATTCCTTGGATAGTGGTATTGATTTTCCTGATAGTTATCCGCTGGATAGTGATTTATCTGGTGCATTGCACTATCCATCATTTGAACAACTGGGGCCAGAACTCATCTAAACCTGACAACCACACTGGATCCAGCAACATAAATTTTTGTCCACTTAAATGTTCAAACAAATGCAACAAGTAACAACTAAGAATTTTGGATGAATTTGGATTAGAGTAGGTGCAACAGCTAATACCTCCAATAAATTTGAAAAGTTACCATAAAAAACCGCTCACTTTAATAGAGCTGCATAACACAGACATTATTAGCAATGTCTCAATTTCCCCATCATGTTCTTATCAATTGCAAATTCTGTTTTTCAGCCAAGGCACACGAACCAATTTTTAGACCCTGAATCGGCGACAATAACTCGAGCTCCGTCGATGACGATTTAGGGTCAGAGGAAGAAGAGTCGGAAAGAGCAGATGTCTGGTCAGGCACCTCGCCAGTCAGCAAAACGAAGAGTGTGGACATTCACTGACTACTTTGTGCCCCAAGAAGCTATTCATCATCCAATGCCCGCTTTCATATTAAATAAAATGCAACCATTTAGGTCAGAAGGTCTCATTGAGGAAGTAAAACGTGTCTTTTAGTTCAATGTGAGCCACAAATTGTGGCTAGATCCTTGCAGATTGTAGATTTTTTTCTAGTAAACTGCCCAATAGAGCTATCCGTATGTAATTTATAAACTAATCTCATTAACTTTCAGTGGTATATTTTGATAGTTGTCAATTAGAAGTTTACTTTGCTCCATTTCTCAGCACTCTTCGTAATTGTCATGCATGATTGTTATCATTACACCTTTTTTTTGTTTGCTTATTACCAGTGTACATAATGTCTATCGTTGTTTTCAATATTAAGTGGAAGAGTAAAAAGCTTGAGCGACGCTAACTTGATGCTAAGATAGGCTGGAAGCTACTCAGCCTTCGAAACATCAGCTTTTTTAATTTGGAGCGCTTTGATGTTATCAGTTCAATCCTTATGTTTTAATTTTCCTAAATAGCCTCTTCGAGAGTTGCAATCGTCTATTTCACAATTATTCTACAAGTGGGCGTTGGATATAAGATGGTAGGGAGCCAACGAGGCGCGTTGCGCCGAGTTGGCTGTAATCATCTCATATCCAACAAGCGCGAGTGGACTTATTGTTTTATTAAAAACGCCTACAAAATATTGGGAATTCTTTCCGACTTTATTTGTAAAAACAACCGATTTTCAGCTTGTTTTTAATTTTGAGCGGACGCATACAGTTACCACATTTGGACAGCATGGTATAATGGCTTATAGGCCATGATGGCTAAGCTAATCAGATCTCTAGAATTGCATTACCCAATGATACAGTTTTTAATAAATCCCTTTAGACTGCAAAACAGCTCCTGTTTTTGCTTAGGTCAAAACTCTCGAGCAGTCAAACGAAAAGCCTGTTGCAGGAGGAAAAGGGAATCTTACGCAGCGGTTTGCCCAAAACCGACTGTTTTACGCTCTATTATCTCTGTATCAGTAATTTTCATAATTTATCTTATTTAGGAATATTTCTTGTTTTTACAAAAAAATAATCATTGTCATTTAATTCTGTGGCTTGTGTTTCCCATCTTTTGCCGTACTACTATACTGTAGAGTCAGTCATGCCAATAAAGCTTGTTAATGCTGTTGTGTGTTTATCAAAGTTCCACGGGCATGGGCTCAAAATTAGCCGAGTTGCACCAGCTCTCAAAACTAACCATAGGTCTGTCTAATTTGGAGTAAGTGCTGATTTGAACTGTGTTCGACATGCGCATTAGGGGCTGTCGTGGGAAATATTATGCTGTACAATATATACGGTAGAGACACTGAATGCGAGTGAGTCAGGGGAGTTTTTGCATTTTACGAAAATTTCCACGGTTGGCCGAGGTGGTCCATTAGAAGAGAGGATAATATAAAAATTTAACATTTTTGCCTAGCTGACTGCTTTTAATTTATTTAATTTTCAATTTAATTCATTTTCACTGCATATAACACAGACACAAAATTGCACTGAGCGGAGGAGGATTAGAAGGGAACAGAAGAACCATACGGGCTATGACAACCAATTTTAAAATAGGTTACATTGTAAAAGAGAAAGAAAAAGAAGAAATTGCTTTGCTTTGACAGGAAACCAATAGAACGGTAGTCTATGATTTTTATGTCTACAACCCCTCCCGGCTCTTCCCCTTTAACTTACTTTGGAAAAAGGTCCACATTTGAAGCTGAACCTTTTTTCTCGGTTGGAATGGTCTGATCGATAGTTTGCCGTTTCATTCAACCATTTCCGTTTCCAGTACCAAAATCTTGGGACCAATTTTTAGAAAATTTGAATGGAACGGTTTTATCCAGGTGACTAGCGCGGCGCGACAATCGTTCTTATTCGTTATAAAGGACTAAAGCAAGACTGGGCAAAGACACGTTCATTTCTCTCGGAAAGGCTTTGTGAATTCAAGTCCCAGCGAGATTCACCTTCGATGAGAGAAACTAAACTTTAGTCTAGAAATCACATGCTATACTCAGATAGAACACGCACGAGCTGAAATCACAAGACGTAATTACTTCCTTAGACAAAAAAAAAACTGATGATAATAAAGGCCTGGAAGACTATGGGAAAGTTTGTTTGCGGACAAGTTCTTACACAGTCGTTACTATAAAAAAATTCTCCAATCGGTAACCCTGATTTAGGCGTCAGTTGATGAGGACATTTTAGTGGGGCGGTGTGCTTCAAATTCCCTTAACTAATTGGACAGTACTTTCCTTAGCGCTGTTGATTGAATAGGAAAGTTGCTCTTTAATGGGTTCTTTTCCTCTATTTCCTAGCGTCCAAAAAAACTCGTGAGAGATCTTGTGTTAATGAAACAAAGTTTGTAATTGAAAGAATTAAATTATCTCAATTATTAATAAGAAAGAGAAGTTCGTGTCTTTCAATTTTGTCACAGGGTTCAGAGGAGTTAATATGTTTATTGTTAGGACCTCAAAACCCGTCAAAAACCTCTGAAAAAATGGTCTATTTTTGATCGCGTTAGTTTGTATACCGCAAACCAACGGTCTGAGGGCTCGTAGGATCGGCTGGCAGTGTACAATATTATATTATTGATATTACTATATTATATTATTAGTATTATTGTTATTGATTATTATTATTATTATTATTATTATTATTATTATTATTATTATTATTATTATTTTAAAACTCCCTCCAAGGCTACCAGTCTGCTGCTTTTCTGTTTCCGGTCTCATTCATTTCCGTCATCGAGTGAAGTGGTTTACATCGAACCAAGTCACGTGGTACAACCTTATTTACTTTTTACTCGGCACTTCGTGCCTCGGTCGCCCTTCGGGCGACGTACTTTGCGCCAGCGAGAATGGCGAACAACAAAGTCGATCGGGTGCAGATTGGAAGCGAAGAAATCGTTAACAGTAGATTCATAAAGATCCCATTAGCGCGAATTAACCGTGTTAAGGTGCAAGGATATACATTTTTCAAGGTGAGACGTTAAATAAGTAATTCATTTTATTCACGCGAAACTCCTCTGGACCAAGTGATTTTGCCTGTGACTTTGCTCGTGATAAACATATCGGACACCCGCTGTGAAGCCTCCCACGCAGACGTTCTTATGCCCCGCGAACGTCTGCTGAATCGAGTGATTAAATTCCTTTCCCATTGTTCGCAAATATCAGCTGGAGCTCACGTGCAGATTATCGGAGAACCAATCGGCGCTGTTGCGCTGTTGGAGTCAAAGTGTTGACAAGCCAAACACATACGTACAAGCTCGGTAGAATGTGATACGTGACCAACGAGTTTAGCTCACTCCATTTAGGAGATAAGCGTTGGCGTTTTGTATATTTCTCTTTGTAAAGGGTGGATTAGATGTCATTTGCTTATAAAATTGTTCTGTCGGCGATTTGTACCTGATATTTGGCATAAATACCACTCGTGATATTTCAACATTGTCTCAAATTTTACTCTCTTAACGGCTCGTGAAGTTAAGTATAAAAATTTTGAAATATCACTTGTGGTATTTATGCCAAATATCACTACAAATCATGCTATTACCTATACAAATTGGACTACACTCAGTCCTTTTACCTTACATCAGAACTGTTTTGAGAAGGTTTGCAACGGGTGAGTAAATACGGGTCTTCTTAACAACTCTTGGCCTTTAACCCTATAATGTCTACAGAACACTATCTATTTACTTTTGTGACTACAGCTGATGAGTATTCCTCAAGGCATTTTAGAAACCCGTCTAATAGGTCTAAACAGTTTCCTTCTACCAAGTAGAGTTGGGGTCGCAACAAATTAATGTTGAAAGATTGTTAAAGGAGTGTAAAAGAGAAAGAAGTAATAAAACCTCGAAGTCAGTCCTTTTCGTGAAATCTTCATTAGCCTACAAAACCGGCGCAATTCTGTGGAACCATTTACCAGAAGACTGCCGCAAAGCAATATCCCTAGGTAGGTTTATTTATTTAAAAGCATTCACGAGCAGAATGCAATTAAAGATATATATTGATTTTAGTAACCTGCACAGTGAAGTTTTAGATGTTTTTACTCGTTTCACTGTTAAAACATCTGTGAAATTGTTAATTGTGAAAGAGTTAATCTAAAAGTGTTTTAAGAATTTTTTATTTTTATTTATTTATTTATTCAGATTATTCTTTTTCTTTAGTGTTTTAATCTAGCTTTCTCTTTTTTTAAACTTAATTCAGTCGAAGAATTTGTGTAATTATATACCCTATTCAAGACCCCTCAAGCTACCAAGTTTTTAATTTCATCGTGTATAAATTAAACAAGGTCAATTTAAATATAGGGTGGTAGCGTTATTTCAAAGGCCCGTAGCCAGGTTTGTTTATGGGGTAGGAGGGTGGGGGAGTGTGCGATCCAACTAGGAGACGGACCAAACGATGCCGGAGGCGCACGTCTTTGGGGGTTAGGGCCGGAATAAAGTTTACTACTGAGACTGAATTTCGAGCGTTTTGAAGAACTGGGTATTTCTCAAACTTTTAATTTTTTCAGATAGAGTACTTTTTACAATTTTTTAGAATGACAATGCGAGATGTCACCGAAAGAAAAAAGGCAGAAAGAAAGATGTAAATCCGTATTATTCGCAAGGTTTGATGCATGATCTTTGCATCAGATGTATGGTCTTTTCATCATGATCTTTCAATAGTGAACCAAGAAGAAAAAGAAGAAGAAGAAGAACCTTTATTAGTTTATACCGCTCAGGGTAGCCCCTTCAGACGCAAAAAGCTGTCTGTTATCAATGGGAGCCCTCAGCAACAACGCACAAAAACACACTAAACATATAAACATTACACTAATACAGGTAATAATATAAATAGAAAACTATTTTCAATTAAAAGATTAAAAGATGTAAAACACGAAATATCATTAAGATAATTCGTTAAAAAGAGTGCAACCATAATAATAGAAGGATCTTTTTGCAATTTCAGTTCTCACAGCAGGCGGATGTAAGAGGTTGCTTTGTCTAGTAGCGCGCGCATGGATTGTATTATTACGTTTAAAATATTGTTTAAAATACTGATGACATTGACCTTGCAGGCATTTCTTAACGAGTTTAAAAACAGATTGACGTCGGCGCTCCTCCAAGGTGGGCCATTTCAGAACGTCCAATGCCTGCTTGCTGCGCACAGTACAAGCCACTATCCTAGCAGCCCGGTTTTGGAGGGCTTCAAGGTCTTGTTTACGACCTTCCCCGCAACAGCCCCACACACTTACACAGTATTCTAAAATTGGCCTAATTAGACTACAGTACACTACATTTGCACTCTCTCTAGTGAGGCTTCTGCGAAGCCTGCCGAGCATTCCTACGCGTTTTCCCGCCTTCGAAATTAGGTACTTTATTTGCTCGTTCCAGCTAAGGCGGTCATCAAAAACTATACCTAGATAAGTGAAGTGAAAAACCCGCTTAATTACATTGTTATTTAAAGTAATAGAAAAAGAGTTAACAGCAGATAATCTAGGGGCGGTTCCGAAAAGCATAGCTTCGGTTTTTGTTACATTAACAAACAGACTATTAAAAGAAAGCCAGTGATCAGTCTTAGACAGTTCGGCATTCAGCTTGTCTTGAATGACAGAGGCTTGAGAGGATGAACAGTATAAAGCAGTGTCATCAGCGTACATCAGAATATTGCAATCGGACACTACTTCAGGTAAATCATTAATGTGTAGAATAAACAATAATGGTCCGAGGATAGAGCCCTGAGGCACACCAGTGGAGACGGCTTCCGAAGCAGAAGTCACCCCTTGAAACTCTACAACTTGGGTGCGGTTCGACAGATAATCCGTAAACCAGCCATGCTCTTTATCCAAAATCCCCAAATTGGAAAGCTTGTCCAGAAGTACCGCATGATCCACAGTGTCGAAAGCTTTGCGAAGGTCAATAAACACAGCACCAGTTAATTGTCCTTGGTCCATGTTCCTACGAATATTATCAGAAAAACTAAGAGCAGCGAATTCTGTCGAGTGACACTTCCGAAACCCGCACTGATAAGGGCTCAAGATCTTGTTTTGCTTGAGATATTTGTAGAGTTGGATATGTACAGCCCGTTCTAAAACCTTAGATAGAACAGGTAAAATGGAAATCGGGCGATAATTGTCCATCTCATCAGCCTTTCCCTTTTTAAAAAGTGGAATGACCCGTGCGGATTTCCAA